CTTCCAGTACACTGACAAGTTTTAACAGAGAAAAACACATTTTCATTTGTCAAAATCTTCACAGAACATATCCAAAATCAGGATTACAGCACACATACACCCAGTAACAAGAGCACCTCAATCACAGGTGACGCAATTTGTGTGAAACATGGAGCGCTTGCTCCAGGTTCCAATGCAAGAAACTGCCTTTCTCTCACAAGGATGGTGAAGACCAAGGAACAGTTCTCTTCTCCCAACATGTCAGGTCCCATTAGGAGGCCACTGGCCAATCACTTGGGTAGGCTTTTGGCCCCAAGTCTGGGCCTTCCCTGTGGTAAATTCTAGCCACTTCCAATGGGTTTTTGTCACCCTTTCCAAATTCATCTGTCTTGAACTAGTAAAGTACAATGCATCATGTTGTCTACTCTTTTTCTCCCTCTGCCCTTTCACGAGACCTGTAGGTCAGACGCAATAGGGGAGAAAACTATTAGTTATCTGATCAATCTAGGTGTCTTGTCTGTTCTGAGAGAGCCTCCAAAACATAACTGCATCTTCTTTCACAAGTACATGGCATCAGGTGTAATCTGGAACCAAATATAAAGATGCAGAGAGAAATAAAGCTATCAGAACACACACACACACACACACACACACGCACACACACACACACATATATATATATATATGTGTGCGCGTGTGTGTATATATGTTTATGTGTATACATATACATATATACATATATATTTCAATTTTGAAACATGAATACAAATATTCATTTACATTATATTTCAACCTTCTGCCTTCAACTGCAGAAAACTTTTTGTGCCATCCAAAGTGGGCAGAAATAAGGATTTCTGCCTGCTGTCCCTCTAGTGCAAAATCTAGTTATTTAAATGCTCACCTTATTAGCAAGGGTTTCACATCTTTAGATAAGATGACATGGGCACTAGCAAACACAGTGGCTAAGAACAGCTCCATCTCCAACCATGCAATGATGGAGCTTCAAGAATTTGCTTAGCAGCTATTAGAGAAAAGGAAAGCCAGTTCTGCTTATAAAATCACTTAGTGAAGGACCCATAATCCCATTTTCCCCAAATTATTTTCAACTCTTCTAAACATGTATATTACTAGGGAAAAAATCTCACAAAGCTCTTATAAGTCAGTCACCAGCAAAGTCCTTTAGTCTGTCTTTGGATAGCTTATCAAAGAGGCACTAATGCTTGCTCCCTCCCTGTCCTTATAAATTTTGGTATCTTAGCAAATACAATGTAATCTTTGGTTACATAATGTGATGCTTTCATCTCTCTTTTAAAAAACTGCTTTAAAAGATTTTCAAAAAGATTAATGGTGAGAACAGATTTGCCTACAAAGACAACAGGGGTAGAAGCTTCCTTTTCCAAGAAATTGAACGTGCTGAATGGCTTATTTTGACTTTAAGTTTTGGATTTGATCTGGTGCTTTGGCATTCCTGATTCCCATAACCTCTTGTAGTGGGTCAAACATGAAAACCACTCCCTTGGCCCAGTGCCCTCTCACCTGGGCAACTGGCACAAGATAATTCATAGACAGCCAGCCTCTTACTTTTCCAGGGCTATACAGGAGCCATGCTCCGGTAGTTACTGGGCTGTCTGGAGAGAGTCTCCTGAAATGCAGCTTTGGTGCAGGGCTGGGAAGGGGCAGAGGAAAGGGTTTGGGCCTTTATGCCCTGCCAGATATCAAGGGAGAGAAGGGGGAAAGGCCACATCTGTGCTGTGCCTAACGAAACAAGCACTTAGAAGCTACTTGAAGCTCAATATTAGCTCATTTGTGTCAGTATCATGTGGATGGTGGACATATTTTCTCTTGAAGTACAAGTCAAATATAACTTATTGTGTATGCCTATATGTATTTAGAAGTAGAGCATGGACAGAGAGGGACTCAAGCATCAGCACATTATTTCTCAACCTGGACAATTACCTCAACAACTACCCAAAGGACAGAATGAAGCTCTCTCTACATTTTTTTTAGTGCCAGTGAATGTACATAAAAATATATGTATTACAGAATTTCTTTTTTCAAAGATATATGACAGTCCTTCAAAATATCCCTTTCTCATAGTAAGGGAATTAAAAAAAATAATAAACTTTCCAAGAACAACAATATTGCCTATGACATAGAAAAAGCTGTGAAACAAAGAATCCAACAACTCCCATGTCAGCTCAGAGGCCAGGCCCAGGTGAGCTGCCCAATGAATGAGAGCTGAAACTGCCACATGGCTCTTTTCTTTGACTACATAGTTCATGGCCCTGGCAGCTGTCTGCTGCTCAGCATAGACAGGGCCTTTTCCGTGGTGCTCCTTCTTTTTCTCTTCCTCACTCTGTGTCCACATCAAGCACTGCAAGCTTGTTTGGAGATGGTCCCCGTGACTTGTCCGGTGAGTGATCCTCATCTTCTAGCTCACCAGGTAAGTGGGTCTGAGTGGCCAGTCCTTCACAGGTGGGTATAGTATACCAACCATACCAACTCTGTTTGTAGAGCAGAGTGCATGCAAAATGAGACTTCTGTCAATTACATTGGCTGGAACATCAGTGGCCATAAGAAAACAAAAAATCCTCCCTTTCATCCATGGGAGAACACAGCCAAGCTAAAATTTCCTATGTTCACTCAAATCCAAGCACAGAAAGAGTAGGCCTAAAGTCCTATGTAGGCTCTTTTTCCCTAGTCTTATCATTTGGAAATTTGGAGTAATCCAGTTGTTGCTTTTAATTACACTGCTGTTTCACTGATTTTTAGCTTTTGCAACCGAAAAATATATATTCATAAAGACAAGATTCATAATTGAGAAATCCATAAAGATGAAAAATTTGATAGAGAAATGGAAAGGAGAGCTTCTAGTATTTACAAGGAGAGATATGAGAATGATATAATTCAAGTCATGTACCACAAAAGATGAAAATCATTCCAAAACAGATGTAAAGGACCTATTAAAATGTAACCTAGTGTAACTGAAAAAAGTGGTGGATTTTTTTCTGTTTAAAATCGCTAAAAGTGATCCTGTACATGAGCCAGATGGTGTAGTAATAAAGAAAACCAGAATGTGTCTATTCCACCCCAGAAAGGGAACCCGTCAGCTTTAGTTTTGTCCAGCAGTCTTGGATTGGCATATTGCTCATCTTTGGTTCCCCTCTGCCTTGTTATTTAAAGAAGCTGTTTTGCAAGTTCATTTGGCTATTAATATCAATGAAGAAATCAGTGAAGGAAAAAACCCTTGTGGATCATATCATGTCACTCAGAAACTGTTCTCTCAACAGAGTGAACCAATTAAAATGGGCAGCTTGGTGACTGGCCCTTGATTTCTTGAGTTCAACAGATGAGATTAAGAGCTAAGTAAGAAGGAAGTGGCCAAGATGAGAAAGTAGGTGGACATTTTCTCTTGCACTTGGGGTTGGAGAATGAAGTCAACAAGAACACAGGTGTGCCAAAAGGCTATATAAAATCACTGTCCCAGGGGCACACCCTGAGTTTTCATGGGTGGCAATGTATTGAAGCTGCACCAACCAGACCTTTCCAAAATAAGTCATTGTACTGTAGAAAGTCTCAATGGTTCAGCCTCCCTCTGACTAAGAGGCAGCAACAAAGGTAGGGAATCTGAGTGAGTATGGGCAATGCCAGAGCCCAGAATCAGCAGCAGAGGAGGATGATGAGTAAACACACCAGATGGTGTCCATCTGGCTTTAGGCTTTGCTGCTGAAGGTTTTAATTTAGTAGTCGGAGTCTCCTCTTTGTTCCTTCTCTATTCTCTTGACTTCTGCAGGTTTATATGCTGGGTGGCAAGAAGAGCATTTGTAGTTTCTGCTTCTAATGCCTTCAGTCTTCCCACCCTGGTAATGGAGTTTTCTCTTCAACGCTGATCTAAGCAGCCCCTTTAGCTGCTCTAAAGAAGGAAGTGAACACTTCTTCACTTGCTGGGAGGGTATCATCTCTGGGGGACAAGGGCAAGACGCCCAGCTTGTCTGATCCCTTTGATGCCTTCTTTCCAGTTTGTCTAAGGGCTCCAGCGATCTGACAGTTGGTAAGAAGTCTTCATGACTACTGGCATCTGCAGACAGATGTCAGAGCTGTTGGCCTGCTCACCTTCTGGGTGGTGGGGGCTCCTAATAGACAACCTGTGAACATGCCCAAAAGAAGTGAACAGGCTTCACCACCACGGCTGAAATGCAGTGTGATGAAGTTCAGGCCCACAAAACACTGTAGGTAGGATGGAAGGTGCTTGTGGCTTCATGGAGTTTGGCAGAAAACTTCATTCAGGTCTTTTCAAGGTGGGGAAAAGGTAGTGGCAGTGAGAGTTCAACTATTCAGTCAGTGTCCTAAGCAGGAGAACAGCCAAAGTCTATTTTTTTCTCCTATGACTTCAGCTTCTTCCTGACTGACACATGAGAAAGCAAACCTGGATCCAAGTGGGGCCCTACAAACGGTTAAATTTCTGCTCTCCTTCTCAGTGGACTGACTCTTCGGTGAAAGTCGCCAAGTTTAGGCTAAAGAGAACATTCAGTTCAAAGGTCTTAGAAAAACTTTTGAAAGTCAGTTTGAGGGTGGAGGCAGAAGAGTGAGAGAGAAAACGGTTTGGGGGTGAGGCATTAACATGCAGACAAATTTTCAACAACAAGCACATTTTCAGTATAATGAAATGCTCTATAGTTGAGCCGTCTAGCCCACAGGGGCTAAGGCTGTGGGCAGGTACTGAGATCTATCTTCCCTCCTTGTTCTCTCCTCTCTCTGTCCACTCCACTGCCCAACTCAGATCTGGGGTCACCTTGCCCTCTAATGGCAATAGCCATTGGTAGAACATAAAGTCTCTCGTGGAGGGAGGAGATGAAAAAATCAGTAACTCCCCATGGGCCTGCAATTTTCACCTTCTAGTTACTGTTGGCCTCTTTGGGGATTTCTATATGTTTATTTTTATTTATTTATTTATTTTTGAGGAAGAAGAAACACTAGCAAGGTTATTTGGCTTATTTTTTGTTTTGTTTTTGCCTTTTTTTGTTTGCTTGTTTTTGTTTTTGTTTTCCCCAGATAATCTGAGCTCTCTAAACTTCCTGTGGTATAAGATAAGTAAACGTTTGTGTGGCTGGCACACAGAGTAGTGCTGTAAACAAGCACAACTTGACACTGGGCCACATGAGGATCATCACAGATTTAAAGGCATACAACACCATTGAAAACACAGATAGGAGCCACAACGGGGAGCAAAATCTGAAGGTGCCATGGGAGGGTCAGATAGGGAAGGAAGAAGAAAAAGAAAGGAGACAAAGAAAAAAAAATCCCAGCAAATAGAACTCAGAAACATGTCCATGACACTGTACATCAATAGAGGAAATTCCCCAAGGCACTGCAAAGGAGTAGTGCAGAGTTACAACAGGCAGAAGACATCTGAAAGAGGGTACGGAGTGGGATGGGGAAATGGGGGCTTCCAGTGCTTCACTGGGTGTGGAAATAGATGGGCTTGACTTTCCCAGAAAGGATCTTGGGCACTTGCACAGAGATGATCTCTGCCATCATTTCTGGAAAGTCCACGCTCACCATGTGTGACTTGATTAGCAGGTCAAAAGTGAACTGATGCAGCTCTCTTGCAATCTGCAGGGAAAAATAAGAGAGAAAAAAACAGGGTTGACAAGGAGGTAGCCTCTGCTAGATGCTTCCCCAACCTCTGAGTTTTGATCTTTCAGCCTTTTGCTTCCTCCCCCTTCCTTCCTTGGTCCTCCCCTGAGGTTGTGCGTGCGTGTGTGTGTGTGTGTGTGTGTGTGTGACAGAGAGGGAGAAAGAGAAAGAAAAAGGGAAAGAGGGAGAGAGAAAGAGAGAGAGAAAGAAAGAGTGAGAGAGAGAGAAAGAGAGTGAGAGAGAGAAAGAGAGCAAGAGTGACAGAGAGAGAGAGAGTGAGCGAGAGAGAGAGAGAGAGAGAGAGAGAGAGAGAGAGAGAGAGAGAGAGAAATGGTCTCCATGGAGTCTCTGAGGGCTCACAAGAGATGTCTTATACCATTGCAAGCTTTCTGACTCAGGACTTCTTCGGTACCCCAGCCTCTGCCCTCTCTCTCTCTCTGTCTCTGTCTCTGTCTCTCTCTCTCACACACACACACACAAACACATATAAACACACAGACAAACTCACATGAACATGACTCAAAGTAGAGGGAGAAAAACATCCAGGTCTATTTTGTCTGCCTGGAGAATTCATCTGCTGTAAGTCCCTTCCCTGAGTACCACTGCTCTGTTCTCAACTCTTCCACCCCTTTCACAATATCCAGCTGGGACACTGTGACCCGTGTTTCTCTCTTCACCACATTTTCTTCCTGGACCACACTCAAAGCCAGAGGGGAATGGAAGCACCTCCCAACAGGTGGTGCCAGATCCTAGAGAAGCAAATTATCATTTGGCTCTATCAGGCTGTTCTCCCTGATAAAGCACCCTCCATCATTTGCTTACAGGCTGCACAGAGTCCAGGAGCTTGGTGAGCTGGTAGAAGCGCCTTGAGCAGGATGTGGGATTTTTTCTTTTGCATGCAATGATACGATCGAGTTCCTTGATGTAGTTCATTCGAAGTTCATCAAAGAATTTTTGATTTTTCAGCCCATCCACTGGAACTGATGTGGGATGAAGACAGAATGGGGAGGGGAAGCATGCCCACGAAGGAGCATTAGACAAAGCACCAAGTTTTCTGACCACAAACTTGACCCCCACCCCCACGGGGAACCATCTGCTTGGCTTCCTGTTAGTTGAATTCTGTGTGCCTGGGGCCTTCAGTCTGTCAGGGAGATCTCAGGGGAAAAAATAGCTGGATCCGATCTGAAGTAGTCAAATAAATCTAGTTTCCTGAACGTTTCCTTTTCTACTCTTTTCATATACTCATTTTTTAGGAACTAAGCTTTTATGTCATTCACAGTCCAACTCTAACTAGACAACTAAAACACATAGCTTTGAATATCCAATTTTGCCTTTCTCCCTCAATAGGAACTAAGAAAGGGCTCTTAGAAAAGACATTAAAGAAAGTTCCTTGGCTGCCAAACAAACCCTAATTGAGTTGCGTACATAGACCTCCTCCTGTTGGCGAAAGAGGAAATCTTTCTAGGAGGAAATGCCTCCTGCTCCACTGTCCTGCAAGGAATACAAGGTGGTCCACGTCTGTTTCTAAACCAGAAGCTGTGGAAAAATTCAGAGACCTGCTATAACCAGTCAAAAAGTCCTTGTTCCAAAGAGAGACTGGGGATAGATGGGGAATCTGATGGAGGTTGAATTCTTGCCAATAAATTGGCTTCTAGTCATGAAATTGTTTCTTGTTAGGAAAATGATGCTGAGGGAGAGTAGAGTGGGGATGGGGCATGGGGAATGAAGAAGGGAAATGTCCAGGAGCCGGCTTCTCTCTGATAACCTTTTAATGGCAATAGTAGTCCCCTCTGAGTCTCTGTGTCCTCAGGGGCATTCCTTGCACATCTAGGCACTTACTAATGCTGAAGAGTAGCAGAGCTTTCATGCACAGGAATTCCTGGGGGGTGATTTGGAGCCATCCAAACTCTTGAGAGAGGTGCCTCATTCGGACACACTGGCTGTACATCCGGGACTTGTGCATGCGGTACCTGGGAAGGAGACACAGAGGAAGCAGAGGAATAAGCAGAGGCTTGCAATAAGCTCAGAGGGAATGTCTCTGGTTGTCCTCCCTCCCCAGGTTCTCCAAGAAGAGCTTGCTGTTTCTCCTGCTGGTGCTTCAGGGACAAGGAAAAGGTTTTTTTCTCTCTCTTTTCCAAAATCCTGACATCCTGATAACTACTCATCTTCTCTGGCCAGGATATGGGTTAGCGCATGGAATTTCCAGGTCTCTGTGCCCTTTCTGTTTTCTGAGTTGGGGACAGGAAAGCCTAACCAAATAAACACAATGGCGCAGGCACATGGTCTCCCTGACTGCAGTTCTAATATCCCAGCTACAGCCAGAACCAGAACCTGCCTCCCAGGCAGCTCAACAGTAAGGATTTTTAGGAGAGGCCCCAGTAGTCAGCTCTTAAATTCTGGACACTAGGATTCACAAATGACCCAAAGTGTTTGGTCATCCTGTTGACCCCTTTGCCTCTGGCCTGGAATACTAGAAATTTAATATTTCTTCAAAACTCCCAGTGAAGGAGATTCCACATTGTTCTTTCAAAATGAGTTCCAATGTTAAATCTGCCAGGGAGTGTTTTTGAATGTCTAATCTAAATGTCCCCTGCTGAAGAGGAGTCCATTCCCTCATATGCTGGCGGTTCCTTTCCACAGATTAGGAACTTTAGACATATGTGAGCTGCGTTTATTATAGTCACTTGTGAACAGATCACCACATTATCACCTATAAATTATATGGGGAAGTGGCCAAGGCTTGGCCAGCTTTTCAAGGAAGAGCAACCTCTCGGTTCCATGGCTGGCCATGGCATACCTCTAAGAGAAGACACAGCATCTTCATGCTAGTAGGTCTTCCGGTTTTCAGCACTTCAAAAATCCTCTGTGTGTGTGTGTGTGTGTGTGTGTGTGTGTTGGTGTGTGTGTGTGTGTGTGTGTGTGTGTAAGACAGAAATTGACTGTGTGTGTTTAAGACAGAAATTGATTGTAGGTGTTTAAGACAGAAATTGTGTAGCATGTGCAGAAAGGTAAGGAAATTTGACACACACTTAAGTGGTGAAGACGAAGACCTCCCAGATGGAGCCTAAAGGCTGTGGTTTGACATTTTGTTTTCCAAGCCACTAGCCTACTCCACAGGATGAGCAGGCCTGGTATTGTCTGGGTGGAAGCTCAGCATCCTATCTCAGGGATCTTGGATGTCCTGGAGAAAGAGGGAAGGGGGCAGATGGTGTAGAATTATTCAACTCAAGCTGAAGCCAAACTGGAAAGAGGAAGTGTTTAGATGGTATCACAAATCAATTGAGCAGAACAGTGTTGCTCCAAGCTCTTTCACTGTAGAGAATTTTTTAGTAAGATTGGCTGACCCTGGGGTCTGGCCCTGTTCCAGTCTCCAATATACTTTCCCACCTCTGTTGACGACAATACTGCAATCTTTTTTTTTGTTTTTACCACTGAAATCACAATCCTGAAATGAGGATTCCTACAACATTGCTGTGGGACTCAGGAGCAGAAAAGGTAGGGAATGTGGGAAAGAGAAGGGAAAAGGAAAGGGAAGAAATTTGTAGGGAAAGGGAACAAAAAAAGGGAAAAAGAGAAAAAATACTAGGGAAAGATTTAAAGGAAGGAAAGAAAGAGCGGAGAATGGAGGGTAGAAAAATGAGGCAGGAATGAAATTCAGGAGGAGAGCAGGGTTGCTGGGAGTGCAAGAGAGAAAATAAGAGGAGAAATAAAGATTGGAAAACACCGAGCACAGTGCCTGACACATAGCAGGCGTTCAATAAATGACATGTAGGAAAGTGCTATTATAATTCCCTCAGCATTCTCCAGATAAAATTTGAGGCACATAGACGTTCAGTAATTTGCCCAAGGTCACACAGCTAAGAGTCAAGCTCATTATCCTCACAACATGTGATCTCTACAAAGAGGAAAGGAAAGGGAAAAAAAGGGCTGATAATAGGGTGTGATGTTGAAGAGATTAACAAATGAGTTGACCTACCTTGAACAAGTTCCTATCTCTCTCTTTAGGTCTGAGACTCCCCATTAGCATCTTAGGGAGGCTGGCAGGGATTAGTCGCTCTCAGCTGGAGAGTACTGCCTCTTCAGTGGGTGTCAGAAATGTGTGGGAGCAGTTTAGGCTTTCAGAATGACTAGAATCCTATTTGGTACAGAGTAGGCTGGTGCCAGGTATGTTAGCTATATTCTACAGTGACAAAATTATTTTTCCCCAAATGTCAGCAGAATCCATGTTGAGAAACACTTATCTAGATGCTTGTAGATACTCTGAGAGATCTAACATAGTGTCTTCTTACAGGAAGAATAGGGATCCTATTGTTTCAGGAGCCCTGGAGTTTGGTGGGTCTAGGCCTCTGACCCTGTGGGGAGTCCTTTGTATGAGATGAACAACACTGGACCAGAACGCTGAGGTGGGATGGCAAATGCTTACTCAGAGGTAGAGAAGGAGATGAGGATTTAGAGAACAACCAATTACCACCTTTCAAAGCTCCAAAGGTCCTAGGGCTCTGGGGAAGCAGTAAAGCATGAATTTGATTCAATTCTTAAGGGAAACAGGGGTTTGAGGTGGGAGATGAACAGTTAGGGGGCTTTTTAAGGCCTGCCCCAGAAGATGGCATCATAGGCAACTTTTTGGAGGTCTGAAAATTACAAAGCAGTTTGTGCCAAAAGTCCAGTGGTTATTCTTAGCTTCTGGCTACCAGGCTGGCAGGGTTGGGAGAGGGCAGCTGGGGACGCTCACTCTCCTTTGCAGGGCAGTGCTGTACTGGAAGGAACCACTGGCCTGTAGATGTTATTTTAAGACTCTTCTGGGTTAGAGGACTGAAGAGGGGGAAAGGTCAATTCCTGTCCTGACTGGAAGGATTCTCTGTGGTGAGACTAACTCAAGGTCCTTGGGAAGATTTCTCTGGCCAGCTCCATTCACAATGCCATCGAGGGACCTCATACAGCAGACATAGAAAAGATTACCAAGCCTGGCTGAGGTGGGAAGATCATGAGGTCAGGAGTTCGAGACCAGCCTGGCTAACATGGTGAAGCCTCTTCTCTACCAAAAGTACAAAAATTAGCGGGACGTCGTGGCATGCTCCTGTAATACCACCTACTCAGGAGGCTGAGGCAGGAGAATTGCTTGAACCTGGGAGGCGGAGGTTGCAGTGAGCCGAGATCGCACCACTGCCCTCCAGCCTGGGTGACAGAGCAAAACCCTGTCTCGGGGGAGTAGGGAGAAAGAAAAGAAAAGATTATCACTATTAAGGAAAGGGTTTTTTTTTTTTAAATCAGAAAGGATTTTTTTTTCCTTCTTGCCTGCTATGGGCCAGACATTCCATATCTGTCAGTTTCATTTATAAACTTTCAGTAAACTTAAGGGTCTTTCCTAAAGATGCTGATTAAGAAAATAGTAGAACTGAGATTTTAGTGGAGAAAAATGTAATTCCAAAATCTGAGCCACTGGTCAAACTCATGATGTTATATAGAGCTGGTGGGAGGGCAGGTATTAATTAAACCTGTTTAAGAGAACGAAAATGGCAGGGCCAAGGTCACACAGTCAGAGAGTGGTAGACGTACTCTTCCCCTTTAGTTACAACCATGAGGCAGAAGAGCTGGGATTGGCATGGACATACGTTTGAATCTTGTCTTCACCAGGCACTAGCTCTGTGACTTTGGGTGAGTCACTTTATTTTGCTGAGCCTGACTTTCCCAGTCCATAAAAACAATAGTGTTCTTTATAAAAAGGGGAGGTCAGGTCACCATGAGACTCAATGAAATAGGATTTAGAAAGTATCTAGAATGATCTTGGCACTAACTAGTTGCTCAGCAAATGATGACTGGCCGTAGCCCTTGGTGATAGCAAAAGAACCTAAAAATCTTCAGCCCTTAAAGCCAGAGCCTTTCTGCCTCTTTTATATGTTGCTCAAAGTGAAGGGGAGGAATCTTTCCATGTGCTTTTGAGACAAGCTGCAAAGCAGACCGGAAACATGACCAATATACCGGGATTTGTTCTTGGGTGGGAAAGGGGTGGTCTCAGCATCATCCTCTTCCCATCCTACCAGTTGGCTAGAAAGCCAGGGCTTAGCCACCTCATGCTGGGTTAGCTGGCTGGGGCATCCACTGCCACACCTGCAGGTCAAATGAGCTAAGTTTCACTGTCATCCCCATCACTATCACCACCAACCAGGTCTGGCCAAGCTGCTGTATTTTAGCGAGGTCTGTGCCCTAGGAGCGCTTACTCATTGAAAACCAGATCAGGGGCGAAGTAGAGCATCCTGGAGTTGACGTTGGTGAAGGACCGCCAGCCCATGGCAAACACCATGAGCCCCATCCAGGAGTACTGAATGACAGCCATCTGGTCGTCCACGTGTAAGTTGCGGAAGCCTGGAGAAGAAGAGGCAGAGGCAGTGGTCAGTCTGGGTACTGATGGGCTGAGTTAAGTTGGAGCTCCTGTTGGGCAGAGATGCTCTGGCATTTGGGCATCCCCTAAGGATCCCCAGGGACCATCCACGCTGGCCACTAAGGGGTGGTGGGGAAAAGCACAAACCGTAGGTGAGGATAATATTCCTTGCCCTCCGTACTTCACTGAGGTGCTCAAATGAGATAATGATGGAGACAAAAAGGGAGTCAGTTATAAGAGAAAAATAATCTAACACTTATTGACTGCTTACATGAGTGAACTTCTTTTTTCTTTTGATTTCTATTGGGCTGCTTTTTTAAAAAAATAAAAATTATTATGGGTACATGATAGTTGTATGTATTTATGGGATATATGTAACTCTTTTCTAAGCACTTTACTTATATTATCTCATATAAGCTTCACAACAATGAGTAAAGTAGGTACCATTATTATCTCTAATCTGTGAGCCTGTACAAGTGAGTCAGAGAGAGATTAAGGAACTTGTCCAAGATCATATGGCTAGTAATTGGCAGACCAGGTTCTAAAGCAAAGCAGTCAGACTCCAAGGCCTGTGTTCTTGAACACTCCACCTTTTTGAAGATGCAGTATAATAATCATTTCTCCCACATGAATAGCAGTTTTCACTTCACAAAGCTCTTTTCTAGCTATGATCTGGTTTGACCCTTCTAACAACCCTGGCAGATTGATATTACATACAGTGTATAGGGAGATGTCTTGACAGCCACTTTCAAATTTAATCTCTTGTGTCCATCCCACTCTCTGCCTGGCACTTCCCTCCATTCTTTTATACTCAATAGGTACCTTGACCCTACTAGTTTCCCACTCTACCGCCATCCCGATCTTACTGCCATCATTATACATGAACAGACCCTTTATGACCTGCCTACCTAGACTGATCTCCTTGCCAGTTGCCTTCTCATATGCCTCTATATCTCCATTATCTCTGCAAAGGCAGTTTCTTTTGCCTAGAATGCATTCCTCCTTCCCAAGCCTTTCATTTGGTAAACACCTACTCATCTTTTTAGTCTTCACTCAAAGGCTACCTCTTCTATGAAGCCTTTTCCAACTCATCTAAGAAGAAAAGCCTTAATGATTCTTCTTTTACCTTCTCATTGCACCTTGTGTAGCCCCACCCAATTACAGCACTCATTACATAGCACTGAAATCTATGTATGTGTATGTATGTCTCCCCCACAAGACTTGGAGCTTCTTGAAGACATGGACCATATCTTCTTATTCATCTTTGCCTCCCTAGTATATAGTACGGTCCACGTATTTGAGTGGACACTTTAGAAATATTACTTAAACAAATAGCCTAAAGACCCTCATTTTTTTTTCCTTTTGTAAAATGAGAATTAAATGGTCTCCAAATTACCTCCCTTAAGCTCAGAGAGCAGAGGGTCCCAGATGCTACCTCCCAAATAACAGACAGGTAGAACAGACATGGCCATGTTCTCCTGGAGGTTTTGAAACAGTTGGATGATTAAAGTTATAAAGGCATCACCTCAGAGCTCATCCCTACCAACACTCTCTTTCTCTTCTCACCAACAAATCCATGATTATCTGAAATTTTGTCATCATATCTCATTAGGAATGCTTCCCCAAATTTAGATCAAACTTCTCACTTTCCTGTTGATGACCTCATTTAACTCTCACAATAATCCAAGAGGTTAGGTGATGTGACACTTATTTTACCAACAAGAAACCTGAGGGCCAGATAAATAAACTGACTTGCCCAAGGTCATATGGTTTATATGTGGCTGAACTAATACTAGAATCCTGGTGTTCCGATTCTCTTCTCCAGTGTTTTTTTCTACTCCACTGCTTCTACTTCACTACCAAGGTCTCTAGCTTTTGTCAGTCATAGGCTCAGGTCTGAAGTCTACATTATCCAGGCACATTGTTCTGCTTGGTTGGTCCCTGTCCATCCATATAGCCCCATTTTCCTTTACTTTTCTTTTAGATCATAAGCCTTTTAGATATCAGGGATTCTAGAGTCCCTCATCTTAGCAGTCTTACCTCCCAGGCCTGTGCCTCCCACTGTCACTGTAATGACACGCTGACAGACCAGCTGGATCCTCAGATCCAACTATTTCCTGCCTGGAGCCCTTCTGTAGCACAGAATGCCTGGAACTGACCCTTCTCAGTACGAAATAAAAAGCAGGGTCTAAGCATGTAGCAACCAAGGATCTCATAGAGAAGAGGCCTGGGAGGTTGAACCCTGAACATTTTGGGTAAGAGGCAGTGGAAGCAAGGAAAGCCTTTTGCTGGTGAGCCTAGGTCTTTTGGTGGAGTGTGTGAATGTGAAGACACATGGAAGGATGAGAATTAAACTGTACAGGTATCAAGGAAGTTGTCCATACTGATGCTTATTTTTTCTCCCTAAAATGCCACAAAATTAACAAAGAGAAGAGAAAAGGGAAAGCTTAATTTGGCCATAATATTAATTAACAATCCTTAATGAGAGCTGCTTATCACTCAAGCCCAGTAACTGTGCACATATCAGCAATGTGGCTGGCTAATCTCCCTATAGTCTAATCTGATTATAATACCTGACTCTGTTCTCTAATGCCCAATCTCTGAAGTAGCCTCCATGACTATCAAGGGATGACTGGAGGAAAGAGTAGCTTCAGCCCTACAGATTTCCTTAAGTATGCATTCACTCAACACTCATTTGCCACTGTGTTAGGCTGTTCTGGAGAAACAGAGGAGTCATTCTCAGGTTTTGAAATACATTAAACAGGTTAAACAGTTTCTTTGAGACTCTTTTCTCACTAGAATCCAATTGGCATCATAATTTTTTTCATGTGCAGCAGAAACTTGCAGTCTTGTGTTTAGTCTGGGAGAATGGGCTCAAAGAAAGGCCAGTTTGGAAATCTTTGCTGCTATGGTGCATCTGCCAGCCAAGGTCTTCAGAGAAGACAATTTCATCTTGGGGTCCATGCATGAGCTTCTAGGCAAGGCATGTGGCAGCTTAAATTGAGTTCAGTGAAGGCAGTGGCTTAACACTCAAGTATCAAAATAATAAACCAACATTTACAGAGCATATACTATGTTTCAGGCTACCTTACTAGTTGGTCTTTATGCATGATCTCTTTGTTGACAACAATTTGAAAGGTAGCAATTATTCTATCATCTTACAAATGAGGACACAGAGCACAGAGAAGACATGATTTGCTGAAGGTCACAGAACTAGTCCATAGCTAGGATTCCAAACCAGATAAATTAGATTCTAAATATACTGTGCACACCCAGTCTACTCACCCACTCCAAATTAATAGTTATCATTTATTAATGTGCCTGGTGTGCTCTCGTAGGCAATTTCCATACATCATTACTGTCACAGAAAACTTACAACAAAATTTATCTTATTAGGTGCCTAGCACAGTGCATCTTACAGGTCAGGAACTCAATCTGTTGAATTAACAAATTACTTGAACTGGTAGGTAATTATAGATAATATGAAGAACAGGTCTTATGAAAGTGGTAATTAGCTTTCTTTTGAAGCTATTCTTTTAAATGACTTGGAGTCGGAGATCATTCAGTCTGACAAGCTAGATGGTGAACTGATACTGGCTTGCAGATTTGTTAATGTAAGGAGTGCGGGGCTTTCCGTCCTGGTGGTTGAGCCAAGGAAAGCCCCACTGACCCCAAGTCATACAAATTCTTCTATAGCGATTTGCATTACGCTATTGTCAAGATAACCAATTTAGAAACCCCAAGGTCTAGGTCAAGTTCTGGTTTCATGTGTTAAGTGACAAAATGGAGCAATTTAGTTAACCTGTTTGAGCCTTGGCATATGAAATGGAAAAAAATAGTTTCTATGATTCATAGAAATGTTGTGAAGAGTAAGTGGGATCATATATATTAAAAAGCTCTGTAGCCTATAAAATGAGATAAGTGTTTGGAAACTGCTTGGGAAGATTAAACTTTGAATCTCTGTCAAACCCATGATATCAAAACATCTAGCTGAAAAGGTGATAAGAATTAAAGCAACCTTCTTGTTTTTCTTTTTTGTATCTTTTCCTCTCTGTGGGAACTCTCTGTTTTGGCACAGAGCATGTCAAGTCAGAGTCCTTGGGTTTCCTTCCCAGTGATCTTACTGGCTACTCAACGTCAGCTTCTCAAGCTGGTAAGGTGTCAGAGATGATTAGGGCTGTGACTGGGACCTGTGAATTGGAAATACAAATCTAAGGCTTGATAGCCAAAAGGCAATGTCTTCTAATGCAACAAGCCCACAGTATGACCCAAGTGGCCTTCAATGGGATGCCTTGGTCCCTCACTGCAAAGCCCAGAGCCACAGAACTGCAGTGGTGCTACAGCCTGGTGGGGTGGAATAATGAGAGGATTTGGAATCAGGAAAGAACCTGGGCTCAAGTTCTGACCCTGTTATTTTCTGACCATGTAACTATAGGCCAATCACATCATTCTCAGAGCTTCCTTATTTGGTCTGTAAAATAGGAGAAAGAGTCTAACTTTATAGGATTCCTGTAAGAATCAATTCAGGTAAAACATACAAAATTGCTCTGTTTACTATAAATTTCAACATGAATGGCAGTTATTATTGAAAGGCAGGTTATTCGTTGACTCCACAAGAGAAGGTTTGGTTGTTGATGTTTCAGAAGAGTCTGTGAATAACAATTGCAGGTTTAGGGGAAACTTTAAGGAGCATATGCTTCACTGGTTTTCAAACTGTGCTCCTTGGAGCCCTAAGATTTTGCAACAGTGACCTGGGGCTTCCCTGGGATAGTGAGAAAGAAGCTGAACTGTTGAGGCCCAGGCCACAGACTCTGGCTTTAAATCAACTAGCTTCACTTGTATCTGCGTACAATTCTTTTGAGAAATAAAGCACTTGCCTGCTAAAGGAAAGTTTGTAAATCATTGGATAGAGGACCTCTAAGAATTCCTTAAGCTGTAACAGTTTAATAACCAGACTTGTTTAAACAACAGATGTCATAAGAAAGAAGTTATTTCCTCATCAATGGGGAACTTCTGTTATCCAACTTCTGTTAGACCAATACTTAGTAATTATTTCACTATCACCTAATCTTTCCTCCCATTATGATTCCTTAGGTAGTTTAAAGTGCACAAAGCATCCCTTGAAGCAAACATTGAAAACTGTCAATTTAGTCCAAACCATGCTTTATACATTATACAGACAGAGAAATTGAGACCCAGAAGGGGAAGGGATCACACAATAAGTTACTAGCAGAGCTAAGAGTAGACCCGAAGTGTTCTGATTCCCAATCTCAAGTTGTTTCTGCCATACTATATTATGAGAGTTCTCATGATATAGCTCCTGAAGGTGACATTAAAGACTGAATGTCAGTCAGGCTGGAGATTATCTTTGGGTGAGCAAACATAGAAGAGCATCCTAAGGCATATATGGATATGTCTATGTGATTTGTGATTACAGGAAGATGTGTTGACCATGTCTGTGGGTTAAATGCGAAAGCATGACCGCTGTGCATCAATGTCAGCCACTCAGGATACCCTATAATGCTATCTTTCTCTTTGCTTTCTGAGTCTCAATTCCTGTATGTTTAAAGTGAGACTTATAACAATCCTGCTCCCACAGGGTTATGATGAAGACTGCCTGAGTTAACGGGCAGAAAAGCACTAGACATTGTGGCTGGCCCATAGGAGCATTTGCTAAATATGATCCCTCTTATCCCATGCTCCCACTTCCCTTTTCCTTACCAGGCAAGGCCTTGGCCCACTTGACCACATGTACAAGCTGTCTCTCTCCCAGTTCATTGAGGCTAGACAGCAAGGCTGCAAAGGAGTCGGGTTGGTTGTTGTCATGTCCAGCACACACCACACCTGGCTCAATGGCTTCCAGGACATTTAGAAAGATGGGCTGACATTCATAGCCTTCAATGTGTGACACTGTCAGCTTCTGGGTTGTCTCTTCATTGGGGCTAGTAGTGCTGGAAGCCTCTCCTTCCTCCTGTAGTTTCAGGTTACCAAGCTTCTTCAGCTTCCGGGCTATTGGGAAGGAAGAGACACCTGAATTTATCATCAGTGGTCAAAAACACAAAATGCAGCTGCCTCGTTAGAAAAACTGCCCGAGCTAAGGAAATCATCATTCTCCCTGGTCACAGACTCTAAACTCCTTAGGGACAAATGCTCATTCATCACTGGTTGAATGTATAATTCATCATCCCAAATCCCTGCTAAACACAAATTTTTCACATCTTGCTTTTTCCTCTGATCCTTGTGCCAAACCAACCTAGAATATCCTTGAATTCAGCTCTGCCTGAATGCAGCCTTCAGTATTCATACCTGGAACCTTTAATTAACTCATTTACTAATATATTAATGATTCATTCATTCATTCGGCAGACATCCATTGTTAGACCTTTGCTTCTGGGTGACAGAAAACACACACGCCCTGGCCCAGTCTGGTAGAAGAGAAATAAATGGCCACAATCAATTCTGGAAAATGCTGCAATGGAGGCATCAACAAAAGAGGAATACATTAATCTTTTTACATAGGTGGGTTTAGAAAACACCTTATATAAAAGATAGTATTTGACCTAGAATTTGAAGATTGATGAGGATTTCACCAGGCAAAGGTGGGTAGAAAGGGCATAAACAAAGGCACTGAAGAGTGTTTGGGGACCAACTAGAGACTGGTATGGTTGAAGCATATATTGCATATGTAGGAAAGTGGTTAATAATGAGGCTGAAAGCAAAGATGGTGCTTGATTTTAAAGGAGCATGTATATCATATTAAGAAGTTTGGCTGGGTAAGGTGGTTCATGCCTGTAATCCCAGCATTTTGGGAGGCTGAGATGGGATGAGTGCTTGAGGCCAGGAGCAGCCTGAGCAATATAGCAAGACACTACACCACCTCCACAAAAAATAGTAAAAACCTAAATTAGATGGACCTGGTGGTGCACATCTGCAGTCTCAGCTACCCAGGAGGCGGAGGTGGAAGGACTGCTGAGCCCAGGAGTTCCAGGCTGCAGTGAGCTATGATTGTGCCAATGATGCTCTAGCCTGATTGATATAGTAAAACTATGTCTAAAAATAAAAAATAAAGATAAAAAATAAGTTTGAGTTTTATCTTACAAGTGATAGACAAATACTGAATGTTGTAAATCAAAGGAGCGATGTACATGTGTCTATGTCTAGCATGTCTAGCAGATTGCTAGGGAAAGAGATTAGAAATGGAGAATGACTATATCTGTCTTTTGCATCCCATAACATAAAGTGACTTGGATTTTAATCTCTCTTTCTCTCTCTCTCTCTCTCTCTCTCTCTCTCTGTCTCTCTCAACACACACACACACACACACACNACACACACACACACACACACACACACACACACACACACACACACACAATTTTGATAGTTAAAGCTCTTGGAGATGTAAAGGTTGCCAGGCACCTATATCACTGTAAATGATCAAATACTAGATACACAGTGGTTAAGAATTCAAGCATCAAATGGGAATGGGAATTTTAAAAGTGGCCTTGAAGGTCCTTTCCATCCTCAGACTATCAAATTCTATTCTATAATTTTGGGCTCAACATATGGTAATTTTCTGGTATTCCATTTCCCAATGAATACACATAGTTACACATAGTTGAACATGCACTGTAACATACATACTGATTTTTTTTTCGTTTTAGCAAAAGGGAGAGGGGAGGTGAAGGGCTGAAATCCTCAATAGTATCAAACAAATGAGAGAATCTTTCTGCCTCTAACATCAGTCTGTAAAATGGGAACCATATCAGGAGAGAGCAATTGGAGAGAATGATGTAAATAACATTATTTAAGATAACCACAATAATCTGAAACTCAAACCTTAAGAACCATCTTCCCCACGTGCTCTCACACACACAATTTAGAGGTCCTTAGGCATCCTGATGTTTACTTTGTGCTATTTTTTTCCAGTATTTATATCGACAGAAATATAAATAATTGAAAAGGTTGTAATTCTAAGGTCTAGCATTAGCAGTTGCACCGAGACAGACCATAAACCACTTTGTCTCTAATCCCTTTAAAGTAATAATAAATAAGAAAGGTAGAAACCAAAGAGAGAAGTTGATTGCTCAATTTAAATGGATAAATACAACAAAAACTGCTGCTCATCTGTTTCTGGTCCCTGTGGAAAAAGATACAACCTGGAACTGACTGTTTTTTAGTTTTTATTTATTTTTTGAGAGAGGATCTCCCTCTGTCACCCAAGCTGGAGAGCAGTGGCATGACCGAAGCTCACTGCAGCTTCAACTTCCTGGGCTCAAGCAATTCTCCCTCATCAGTCTCCCAAGTAGCTGGGACCAGAAGCATACACTACCACTCCTGGTTAACATTTTTTTGTAGAGATGAGATCTCATTATGTTGCACAGGCTGGTCTCAAACTCTGGCCTTAAGCAATCCTCCTATCTCAACCTCCCAAAGTGCTGGAATTACAGGTGTGAGCCACCACACCCAGTCTGGAACTGACTTTTAGTTCTAATTAGAAAAATAAGTCCTTTAATGCAAACTCCACTCATGGTGTTACTCAATAAATCACTACAAGAATGGATTACATGTTTGGACCAACAACTAGGATAGGGAATAGGAAAATGGTGGAGTTGGTGTTGCAAGAGGAACACAGAAGAACTCAGGGGAAAATAATAATGAAGCCTAGAAAACCAATCTTGAGTGTAAGACGACTTTGTCCAACAATCATTTCTGCAGGACTTGTGCACAGCCAGTAATAAGGAGATATGCACATCCACTGACAATTCCCTATCTCACCAAAGACACAGGCTGGAAGGTATGATCTGGGCCAAGGCCACCTTCTTGAGTTAGAGACCTGGCCCCCACAGTATCTTGTCACTTGGTGAACTTACTGCAAACATGAGTTTTTTTACTCAGCTCCACAGACTGGTGGTGCCAACAGTTATAAAGTTCCTGCTCCCCTGCTATAAAGTTCCTACAAAAGACGTCATCTTCTCCATCACTGAACTTTTCTAGCTTTGAGCTCAGGAGTTGCTAGGCCATTTAGTCCTCTTAAGGGTAACTACTATTTTTTTCAGGGCTTTCTGTGTGCCTCACTTCATCACATTACATCATTTAGTTCCACATGATCTTAGAAAGTTAAAGATAGTTCTTATCCTTATTTTACAAATGAATAAACTGAGGTAACACAGCTATAAAAAAAAGTGAGAATCCAATAATCTGAACCTCATCTTCTGATTACAAGCCTATATTCTCTCTACTGCATCCCCAAGGAATCTGAAGCCCTGAACCCTACTTCTAATTCAAAAGCAGAATTGAGGAGTAAAGCCAGGGTTATATCCTCCCTGCCTCCCTTCTTCACCCTTGACTCCAAACTTCATAACTAGTGTCAGATCCAGGAGGGAAGAGATGGGAGGCTATGAGAATACTCCAGTTATCTTCCCAAACTGAAATAGATTTGGGACACTATAACGATTTAATGATTTTCAGCATGACAAAACAGGAAGGGTTCTTAGAAATTATCTTATCCAATGGTGGCAGATTCAAAGACCTTCAGGGTGTACATAGGCAATACAGTAGGGTGTGCGTGCATGCGTGTGTGGGAGAATGGTTAGTGCTCTGGTGAACTGGAATAAATGCCTTACTATGCCTGCAAGCGTGTATACACACACCTAGAAGGTATTAATAGATTTTAAAAATTCCTGAAACTTGTGTATCCCACAATTGAATTCAGCCCATAGCCACCATGTTTGGACATTTGATGTTAGTTAGTTTAACCTTTCAAGTTAAAGATAGGGAGGCTAAAGCCAGAGAGGGCAAGGTCACCTACTGGCAAAGCTGAGATTAGAGCCAGGGCTCTAATTCCCAATTCAGGATTCCCGATGTTATATTGACTCTCTTTTTGACTGACTTATTACTGCTGTATCTCAGTACGTGTCTCTCTCAGATCTTTCTACACTTGTACTGTTCAATATAGTAGCTAAGTAGCCACATGTGGGCTATTTAAGTTTAGATAAATTATTAAACTATAAAATAAAAAGAAAAAATTTTAAGAGTTAATTAAAACATTAAAAAATTAAGAAATATAATCCCTCAGTTTCACCAGCCACATTTCCAGTGTTCAAAAGCTACATGTAGTTACCGTCTGTATTATATTGGACAACATAAGATATAGAAGATTTTCATCATCTCAGAAAGTTCCATTGAATAATATTGTGAATGTACACTGTTCTCTCGGGCAGCTTTCCCATTTGTAATACCCCACTAAAGCTACTGATAATGAAGAAATGAATACAAATGGATTATACACAGATGAATCCATGGACTTTTTTAAAAAAAAAAAAAGGTGGAGGGACACACAGAGCAATTGGTGACAGTGAGATCAGTGAGATATAATCTGTTGTCTCGACTTTCCCTCCAATGACTCAGATCTCCCTGGGATCATGACTCGTGAACCTAAGCAAACTCATTACAGGTAAGATCAATATGTGCAGAGACTGTGGGGAGAATCCATCAAGATGAAATAATTCCCCTTTCTCCATATAGTGCCAATGAGAACTTGGCCGGTATTCTCACATCCTCCTCCCCAGGCCTATATGGCATCTGCTTAAGGAAGAGAAGCTGCATTCCCACTTGCCTCCAGGACCCAGGTAGTGTGTTTGTCCCTATGACCACAGTGGCCCTAGCTGCACCAGGTGTTCTGGCTTCTCTGCCTAAAGAGAGTGACTATACTAAAGGTAATTGAAATCAGACTCCATTCACTCTGCCAGGGGATCCTACATTCTCTCTGTAGCACAAGCCAGGATATTGCTAGACGGCTTGGAATTCTGGACAATGAGGCTTTCTAGTTTCAGCTATTACTCTTTGCCCAAGGACTTGTTTTCTTCCATGAAGGCCACCCCTATTCCTCTCCTGCCCTCTGCACCTGAGGCCCAGAGTCAAATCTAATTCTTCCACATAAAATAAATACAGGTCAGATTGTCACTGTGTCAAGGCAAAGACTCATTGGCTTACTTAAATTTAGTGAT